TGTACAAGAGATACAGCAATTTCAGACGTTTTGACTGTGGTGGTCCACATCAGTGAAGTGTGGCTGATACTCCTCTGGGCAAGGGGTCCACATCTGGATTATCCTTCTATCTTGGATTCATTGGCTAAGAGTGTCAGCTGATAATCAAAAATGGTTTGATTCGTTATAAGGGAGGTTGACACCAATGGACTCCAAGCACCATAATCATTTCAGGATGCTTTGAGTTCTGCTTTAAAACTCTCCTGTTCATTGCACATAATTGCTAATTGATGGCTCTACAAACTTTAGATCAATATAAAGTTTGCCATAGTAAAACATGACAGAATGAAGTAATAGTTTTAAATATATTTATAAAAATATATTTTAATTTTTTTTTGGGGTGGGGGAATGGTTACACAACACTTAACTGTTACCCTTTCTTTCTACTTATTTTTTGTTGTTGTTATTTCAAATACAAAGCATACGTATTCACTACATGTCCAGTGATGAGAAAATGAACGTACACCCTCTTTGAATTATATGGTTTTACACATCAGGACATACTAATGGATTCTCCATTTTGGCTTTTTATTTTTTAAATAAATCATAAAAATGTGTAATATGTCATGTGTTGTTTAACTGTGGTTTTGTGTTCCTAATTTGCTAAGGAGCAGATGATTATGTCCTGATATGTAAAACCATAAAATTCAGAGATGGTGTACTTTATTTTTCCCATTACTGTAGATATGACTGGGCCAAAAAAAATGTGTATTTTTAAAGTGTCTGAGTATTCACGGTTCATGGTTTAGTCATGTTAATAGGTTAATTCACTCATTTGTGGTCTGCCAGGTTCTTTAAACATTTTGAATTGTGTATGTATCTGCAGTTGTTTATTTTTGTATTCATCCATCCAAAACTAGAGTGATTCGTTTTTGTATAGTTTACATTTTCACAGTTATGCCTTAGAGCAAAGAAATATAGGAGAAATGCAAAATATTTCCAGTTCCTAAGCTCCTGTTTTTTGCAAATGTTCTATTTTTCGAATTCATCATGACACTTTCATAAATGTTAAAGTTAGCTTTTCATGTGTAGGTAAAAGGTCTGCACTAATTGTAAAATGCATCTATCCATTTATTGTTCTATTGAAATTGAAAATAAATCTACAGAGCAAATACTATATAAATGTAATGGGTTTTATAATTACCTTTGAGAACATGTATATATAGGGTACTGCATACATCAATGAAGATTTGTTCCTCAAACAAAAGGTACTATTTTATATTTTGTTTCCACGTGAGGCTGCATTTATTTTATGTGGGTACAGTTTGCCTTTCTAATACAATAAAATGTTACATGAACTCTTAATTTTCAAATATGGATCCATTTACCTCACTTACATTGTTTTAGTGACAAGAATACGATTTTGTGTACAGTGATTTTATTATTTGTTAATTCTTACATTTTCTTGATGAATCATTAACCCAAATTATTAACGCTTATGTAGCAAATGAATGGCATCACCTTGATGATGTTGATTATAATGTAATCATTCATAGCTTGCTAAATAGACATTTACTGTATATATTCAAGTGTAAACATCTCCTTGGCATTGCCATTTTTATAGTTAAATAAGTTTATTATTCTTTTACTGCATGAAAGATGTTGTATTCATTTTACTGGTACTTGTTCACATTTGTAAAACCCATTACTATTTTTTTTTTAATTTCACTTCACTTTCAACATTTTTACAATGTTAATGCAATTGAAATATGAATATTACATTTTGTATTGTGTCATAACTGGGAAATGTAAATTTCGTGAAAATATGTCAATTTATACTAAAAAATAATAAAGAAATAAAAATATTTTACAGGACATTACATAATTGATCAGTTTTATATTTAATATCTTTCTCTAGTTGATGTTGGTTCCTTATTCTAAATGACACTGTGGAAACAATAGTTTATCACGTTAAATGTGATACATTTTGTTAAAGGGGCACTGTAAGCATTATAACCACTACAGCTTGTTAACAGCTTAATATAACTGTTAAGGAGCAAGGATTGTTTTGGGCATGGGTCATCGGCCGTCTGGCAAAACCGAGAGATAGAGAAGCACAACGATCTTCTGCTCTATCTCATGTCTTGACAAACTTTCCAAACAGGAAGAATTGCATATGTGTCAATGATCTCCATTTGCTTCACCGTCACTTGGGATCTGCTGACCAGATGACTATTTCTTTATCTGGACCCTCACCAATTGTTCCTGTGGAATAATTGTTATTAAAATAGATTTTATTTCTCATCTTTGTGGTGAAATCCTTATAGATTGTAAGCTTGTTTCAACGGGGCCTTCTTTATCTCTTGTCTCTGTTAATAACTGTATGTCAATTACTTACATAGCTACATAGGCTGAAAAGAGACATGTGTCAATCAATTTCAGCCCTTCTTACATATGTTTTTGCTGTTGATCCAAAAGAAAGCTATAATCCCAGTTTGAAGCATATCAATGTACGGATAGGGTATCTAATCATGTGTACTTCCTTATTATTAATAAATACATTTTATCTAATGTGCTCTTTAATCATATGCCATATTAATCTATAAATTCCTTAATCATGTGTGCATCATTTATACACAATCACAAATGCCGCAGAGTGTAAATTAGTGTCAGATAAAGTACCCCTAGTCATATATTCCTCTTGCTCTGTCCCCTCCATTCATCCACAAAACAACCAACACACAAATCACAAGCCCCACATAGAACCCCCACCCAAAGCCACATCCACCCCTTAGTGCATTCATTTATTATTACTTAATTATATGCAACAATGAAAACACACCTGGCAAGGGAACTCTCTAGGCAAAAGCACCCCACCGGCACCCGAAATATGCAAAAACCCAATAGTCATAGAACAAGGGCAAATAATTTAAATGAAGTTAAAATCACCAACCATGTCCACCTCATTAATTCAAAACACCATATCTCTAAATAAAAATTACATACAGTGGTAAATAATCCATAGTCCTAAGCACCCATATATAAAATAAAAATGAATAAAACAAACCCCAAACTCAACCCCAAACTCAACCTAAAGTGATCCACCTTTTGTGCCTAATGTACAAATTCCTTACTTTTGAGTGCATCTTTTTCATTATATATATATGCATGCACCCAGAATATGTACATCAACTACCACTTAAAGGGGGCAAATAAAAATCTGCATAAAGGACATAATCCTTAGTCATATGCCCTTCATTAGTTCACAACAAACATACTTTAAATTAAAAAAAAAAATACATGCAGTGGCAGTGGCGTACACAGGATCCATGGGGCCCCGGTGAGAAAATTGATCTGTGCCCACCCCTCCCCCTGCGCTTACTCTGTGCGGGCCCGGCCTGCAACACATGGCGGCCCGGGCCACACACACGTCTGTGTGTGCAACACACAGTAACACACACACACACTGACCCTCACTAGAAGACACACTCAATAACCGACACACACAAAAACTAACACACTAGCTGACACACTAGCATACACACACTCAATAACAGATACACAACACACTAAGTAACAGACACACACACACACATTTATTTTTTATTTTTTTTTAAATAGCATCCCCCAGCCTCCCTTCATTTGGGAGTGTTGAGGGTGTGGTGTATCACCAAACTCTATAAATTATTATGTACGCATACACATATAAACTCTGGTCCATCTACTTTAACAAATATTTATTCAGAGACAAAACAACAACAACATACAAATAATGACACACAATCTAACTAACTATACCACCAACAACAGCAACAACAACCTAACTAACAATAACAACAACAACTATATCTTATAAAATCACCAGATCCCACTCACAGTTCACCATGATAGAAATTAGGCCATGTCTGCTTAAGGGACTGCTCAGTAGCACAGCCAAGAAGGAACAGAGAGGAATGGAGATAGGGGGAAGTGGTTACCTCTTTCCTGACTTGTAAAGGTATTGAATTACTCAATTACCATATCAAAAGGTAAAGCTTATTCCACTGTACATGAGCTTGGTCACGTGATCCCTGGTCACCATATTAGTTTGATGACAGAATGTCACCACAGAGGGGATTCCTGCTTTTCCTGGGGTCCAGTGGTGCTGCTGAGCGGCCGGTCACTGAGCGCTCTCTGCCCAGCTCCCTCGCGTGCACTGCACCGATGCCGGAATCAGTGCGGTGCGCGCAAGGGAGCTGGGCAGAGAGCGCTCAGGGGAGCGCACACCCGCCCGGTAACGCCACTGCCAGCCTCAAGGGGCCCTGAGGTGGCCAGCTCCTGGCCCCCCCAGGAGAAGAGTACATACCCGGGCGCAGGGCGGCCCGGGCCCCCTGGTGGGCCGGGCCCAGTCGCAGCTGTGACCCCTGCGGCCGCGGTATGTACGGCAGTGTACAGTGGTAAATAATCCATAGTCATGAACATTTCTTATAAAAAAAACATTTAGTGGCTTCCGGTTTCCGCCACCATCTTAGCTGGCCGTGTTTCACCCCAGCTTCAAAACTCACCTCCACAATCAACAACAATCCAACGCTCTGGGGCCACGCTGACAGGGGGTGCTCTGGCACTGTGTGCTTCTGAGCAGTTGGAGGGTGCCGTCGGAGATTCAGGAAGAGGCCAAAATAGCCTCAAAACATTACGGGGACCTGCCAGAAGTCGAGGCCTATGTGATAGGCTATGCCAGCATACTTCATGCTGCAGCCTGCATCAGGAACACCCAGGGTTGGTGTCAGAGTGGAGGTGGCCTGTGGAGAGGTGCCACACAAGGTGCTTGCAGTGCAATTCACTGCTACTTTTCACCCAACCTTGAGTAGTGATACCTACCTCACATCAGCCCAGGACTCCCCTACACTGCTTGTGCCACTCTAAGGAACTGTGTCTCACAGGCCAGTCTCTCACACCATCTTGTCACCTACTGCATAAACTTATTTTCTGTAGTCTCCAGCAATACTCTCAGGCTGTAAAGCTGTCTCTGCTGTACATACCTTAGTTGATACGCTTTTGCTTCTTATATTTTCACATTGGCTGGAATTGACTATAGTAGCTGCTGCCCAAATTTTGGAGTGGCGCTTCTGCAGACAATTGCACTTGGATGTAGTAGCTGCCTGCAGGGACGTTTTAGCCGTGAGGCTAACAAGGCATTTGCCTTGGGCGACATTTTCCAGGGGGCGGCAAAAAACGTTGCCCCCAAATGCCCAGGGCAAAAGCCTTGTAAGCCTTGTGGCTAACTGACATGCTGGGCGGGCAGCTGGCGAGGGAGCTCTTCCTCTGAGCGGTCTGCTCAGCTCCTTCATGCGCCGCAGAGTGAGGCTGGGAGCCGGAATGAGGTCACTGGCCCCCTAGGGAGAAAGAGAACCCCCCCTCAGCATTCCCCCCAGCAAAGGTAAGGAGGGGGGTTAAATAAAAAAAAAAAATGTGTTAATGTGAGTGTGTGTGTATGTCTGTTAGTGTATGTGTGTGTGACTGTGTGTCTGTTAGTGTATGTGACTGTGTGTCTGTTAGTGTATGTGTGTGTGTCTGTTAGTGTGTGTTTGCCTGTGTGTGTGTCTGCTAGTGAGTGTGTGTGCCTGTGTGTCTGCTAGTGAGTGTGTTTGCCTGTGAGTGTGTGTTTGTCTGTTAGTGTGTGTTTGTTATTTTGTGCGTGTGTGTTTTTTTAGATAGTGTATGCGTATCTGTCAGTGAATGTGTGTGTATTTAGAAGGCGGGGTGGGGGAAGGGTTGGGTTGGGTGGGGGTGGCGTCTGAGTTTTGTCCTGCCTAGGGCAGCACAAAACCAGGATACACCACTGGCTGCCCGCATGAACTACAGGGCCGCTACCAGAAATTTTGGGGCCCCTGACAAAGTACTCCGCTCTCCCCCCTGGCCCGCCAATGACTCCACCCACAGGACTCCTACCTAGTCCGCTGACAATGATGCAGGACTGAATGTGGTGTGTATAGTGGAAGTGAATTAGGATGTGTGTAATGGATGTAGTGTTTGTGTGTATTAGATACTATTTGTGCAGTGATGCAGTGTGTATAGTGAACACAGAGTGTGTTTGAGTAGTGGATGTAGTGTGCGTTTCTGTAGTGGATGTAGTGCTTGTGTGTACTAGATGCAGTGTGTTTAGTGGATGCAGTGTGTATTAGACGCAGTGTCTCTGTATAGTGAATGCAGAGTGTTTGAATGTGTGGTGGATGTAGTGTGTGTACTGTGAATACAGGAGGTTTGTTTAGTGGATGCTGTGTGTATAGTTAATGGAGAGTGTGTGTCATTTTAGTGGATGCAGAGGCGTTTCGGCCTAGGCCTTTATCAAAAGTCTAAATTTCTTCCTCATTCACAATCACATAATTATGTCCGGTTTTGGCGCCAATTCTTCTGACTATGAGGTACACAGTGAGAATCAGGTTCAAAGCAGGCTATTGACCTCAAGAAGAGAGTCTCTGCGTCCAATACGAGGTGTTTGTTTTACCTCGCCAGTAGGTACCCTCCCCTCCCCTTCTATTTTGTATACACCCACGGAAATATCACAAACAGAAATTATAACATTTACAAGACAGAAGAAATAGGGGCCGGTTGAGCAGCACCACTTTTGTTCATCTTTTCACGTCAGTGAATGTCTTCTAAAGGTGTATTATACTTAGAAATAGAATTTATTTTTATGGTTATGTATGTAAATAAAAAAATAAAAATAATTCATGGAGTATATAATGCATAAATTAAAGAGGCAACACAAAAATATATATATATTTTTTTTTATTTCTTCACCAAGAAGTGCACACCTAAAAATACAATGAAAATCAAAATATGTCAATCTAGAATATTGCCAACTTCAATTTAATGTGTGGATTAGTGAAAACTTTTTTTATATTTGCCAACATCTAGGTCTGTGACAGCTAAATGACATTTAGCTCACATGTACCTCATTCCTTCATGTTAGGCAATTTTTCAGGGTATTTTCAAAAGTCCTCTACCATGCTTGTCTAATTAAATTTACCTTCACTACTTAAGGAGTGTAAAGTCCTTCATCTTGCAACCACTCTTTTATAAACACACCAGTGTGATTTAAAAATAATAGCAACAAATTATGTGCATAAATTCTTTTGATACTGAGGAATGGTGCAAAAAAATATGAAGCAGTTGTAAAAAGTTAGGAGAATTCTACCACATAAAAAAAAAAATAAAAAAAAAAGACGCTTGTTAAATTTCAATGAAAATATATGAACAACTAAAGTATGCTTAGGAAATATAAAAGCAGTTACTTTAATTTACATGTTTTAGATTTCATTTGAACTTGTACTGCTGGGTTAATCCATCTCAAGTAATTCAGCATAAGTTACTTGGCCATTTTTAATTTTCCTATTTTTTATTACCTCTATGTATTGGTATTGCAAATCCACTAGTTGGTTCAATTAGCTGGCCAACAGTTAGAGTAAAAGACAAAACTGGAGGTTTTGCAATGCAAATACATATAGGTAATCACACACACAAAAAATAAAATAAAAA